CGTTTTCATCGCCAACTTTGGTGGCCATTGGATCAGTTGTCGAAGTCTTTTGCTGCTCAGAGTCGCTATTATTCAAATTCTCGAGAGATCTTTGTTTCACTTTGTTATCACATGAACGCTGCGGTCGTTCCGGCGGAGGCACAGACGGCCTCTCGTGGACCGATAGGGGCCGCTCCAGAGAGGAGCGCGTGGGCACAGACGGTGGCGGAACGTTAGGCTTTTCTATCACTTTGTTTCGCGTCTGATAATTAGATGTCGAGACCTTCCTATCGACCATTGGGTGCCGATCTGACGATGAATGCGTCGACAAATCAATCGCTCTCTTCGCGGGTCTGTCCAGAGATGCGGTCGAATAAATCACAGACGAGTTGTGGTCAGAATCGACAGAATTTGTCTCGTCGTTAGAGTCGACACCCGATGTCGTCATCAAATCCCTATCCCTTTCGCGAACCATTTCTAACGAATCGGAATTATTTCTGGAGTGAGTCTTAAGGCCGTTAATGGGCGCCACTCTGTCGAGTGGACGGACGCCCTGGAGGGCGACGGGTGGGGCCGGCGCTGGCTTTTTAGCGGACCGAGTGCTCGAATGGTGGGATTTGGTGGTGTAGTGGTCGCCGATATAAGTGTGGTCTCCGTTGGCGACCCTCTCGACACTCACTGGAAAGGCTACAAAATTGACTTCTAATGGAGGAATGAATGCATCAATTAATAAACACATAAGTTATGCATTAAACTATCGGCAATTGATGGACACATACCTGCGGGGAAAAACCAGTCACAATATTGTATAATTGTGTCCAGAATTAGACTATGATTAGAGGCGGCCGTCATATTAAGACTGAAAATAAAAACTAGTTAATAAAACCAATAAATGGCATAAACAGGTAGTTATGGCTAAGACTGACTCAAATGGTTGGCTGTCCTGTTGAGGCCATATAAGGCTGGGAGAGATGGCGATCGCCAGGTTCTGCGACGACATCTTATTTGAATCGCAATTATTGGATATTTTGGACAAGAATTTAATCATATATCGCAAGTTGTCGTGATTGGCTTTCGGCAGTTTATTGCACACTTTCCACAGCGCCTGCAGTCGGGCGTCGGTGTCACTGATCCTATCGAAGCACACATGGAATTAATAACCAAATGTTTGGCATTCAAATCAATCAATCGATTGGTCACATACTTGGCCGCATTGATCCACTCGTGGTATAGACTATATGTGAACAATGGTTCGGGCAGTTCGCGGAGGTATGACTTGAGAGCACCGGCCACTGTATGCGTGTCGCGAACGTATTCCTCGAAGTCGACGATCCCGGCGTCGAACGCGTTCTTCAGTTTCCGCACTTTGGAAGTACTGCCGGGAATGCGAAACAATCCCTCTTCGGACAGATTGTTGAGTAAACATCCGACACACGTCTCGATCACAATAGAGATCTCGCGTTTAGTCACCCGTAAGTGCTCTTCCAGTGCTGTCCCGAAGACTGGCTTTTGCGAGTTGTCGTCTGATTTGAATACATCCAGACGTTATGACAATGTCCAAAACAATGACTTAAATTCAAATACTCACTAATGACTCGTTCGATGAGAGGTATATAAATCTGCATTAATTCCCAATTCTTTTTATGATAATTTGCTTGACTTTTAAAGAAGTCGAGGAATATGTGCGACAAATCAGACTCTTTGCTTAAGAGGTGAAGTAGTTCGGCGGCGTATATGTCCTGCAAACGCAACCGTCATGTAATTAGTTTCCAAATAAATATTACAATTTGTTATATCACAAGACATACCCTGTTTTGGTCCACTTTGGAGGCCGAGTCCTCCAACTCTTTGCGCAGAGACTCGGCCTTCTGTGCGGACGCGACGGACGCAACACTGGCCGCCTGTTGGGACAGTTTGAGAGCCGTATGGTATTTGATGCGATACGAGTCCATATCGGTGGTGGCTTTTGTCAAATGCTTTTTCGCTTTGTTCACCACAGGAATGTCCACTTCCGTGGCTTTGGTCAGTGCGCTCAGACACTGCTCCACATCGCTCTCGTAGTTCAGCAACTCTTTGGCCGACAAATTCTGGAGCTTTGAGCACTCGCTTAACGTTAATCTGTATATCATATGCAAAACCCATTATTATTTTAACAAACTTTTCTGCGAATAAAGTTTTCCGCAATTCATAGCATTGGCAAAGAAAAAATGCATTCAGTTTTGTGTCATTTGTTATATAAAGCCAATCATTTGCCAAATAGTAGTAATTATTTTTAGTTATGAAATACCAAAATAAACAATCATTTGTTTAATTTATGGCAATTTGTGTTTTGTAATCAATTAAACAGAAATTTATTTTTTTTGTGTACAGAAATCGATGATTCAGTCATCAAATGAGTAAAAACATAGCAATTAATTAAATTCAAGGATATATTAGTTTTTTTAAAAAATATATTATGGAAACTCATTACATGAGGATATGTTCATCGATTGCCGTTAAAAATAATACAATTTTGTAATTTCGCTCAAAACTCATTGCAATTGGATTTTTCCATACAAAAAACTATACAAAACAAACAAACAATAAAAAGTTTTGTTGAATGTATTCAATACATGCATAATATTTTATTTATTATAAAATCAGTGCCTTTTTTTACTGTATTTACTGTATTATCAGTTTTCGTTTATCTATGAAAAACATCTAAAAAACAATTTCTATTGTTTTGGATATAAATCTCAAACAAAATCATAAAAATAATTGCCGTAAATGGAAAGGCATAGAGCACTGGCACTATAATTACTGGACGATTGCATGCATATGCCATCCCATCGTTTAAAGCCTTTAATGACTACAATAATGGGATAATCATTCAAAAGCGAGAGAGAGAGAGAGAGAGAGAGAATTGTTATAAAAGAAATGTCTTTTCAAAAGTTATTAATCAAATGAATGCATCGAAAGCTCTTTTCATACGTGAAAATTGAGTTCAATTGTCGCTCAAAAAATTAGGGCCAAAACTATTGACGATATGTTTTGCTGTGATTTTGAACTATCGATTGAAATATCACTAAAAAACTAAACCCAAAAAACAAGAGACAATAACTCTTCGCGAAAACTAGAAATATCTTAATAAAAACTCAATTCAATTGTGTTTTTATATCTGAACGTAATCTACAAAACATCACAAAAAAATAATAACTAAATAAAACTAAAAGTATTACTCAATCATCAATTGATTGCTTTATAATTAGTTTATGATATCGTATAACATCTCTATAAATATCCATATAAACTGATTGACAGCTAAATTCAATGCAATAATAAAAAGTTTACAAAACTTTATAAATAGTTTAATTTGTTTGTTGTGTTTTATTTTCACAT